AAAAAAAAAAAATATTAGGTAAAAAAATTAATTTTTTTTGCTGGAGGTGGGGTGGGATAGAAGGGTAGTAGGGTGGGTGGTAACGGAAAAACTGAAATTTGAAAAACAAAAAAACCTTTTTTGGAGAGAGGAGGTAGAGTGGGTTGGTGAGGGTGGGGAAGGTTGGGAAGGAGTTTTGGAAAATATTTTCCCTTCTTTTGATAAGGAAAATATTTTCCTTCAATTGAAGGAAAATGAGTTCATAAAGAAAATATTTTCAAAAACATTTAACCCAACCAAATATGGAAAAATTGGAAAATATTTTCCGGAAAATATTTTTCTTCATATCAAACACACCTTATATCTGCAGCCCTTTTCTTGGTGTAGGCGAGACAAAGTTTTTTTTAGTCTTCTGCGAACCCAATAACTAAAATGAACGCTAGCAATGAATTTATTAGCAAGTTCAGAACTCATAAACTTCAAATTCTGGCTCATGTATTACCAAGATTTCTTAATCATTCTCTTATGCTTCAAGGTGAAAGAGTCAGAGTTTAAAGGGAGAAAGGAAAACACAGTGGTCCACATAAAAAAATGCAGGTATTTATCTATTTCTCTGTCCATTCTTTGAGATTGTCTATTGTTATGGTGATGGTATATGAATTCACTATTTGTTTCAACAAACATAAGTATTCTATAGTAATTCCCAAACCTCTTTCCATTATTCACAAATGAAATACTTTGTAGGTTTCTGGAGGAAACGAATTGTGTGGGGATGTGCACTAACCTATGCAAGATGCCTTCTCAATTGTTCATCAAGGATACATTAGGAATGCCAGTGAACATGGTACCAAGTAAGTATACCAAATGATAACACGTAGTTGTACTTTCTTTAAAAACAAATCATTATATACCCATGTATAATATGCACCATATTAAAGTATTGCAAGAAGTTCAACAGCATTACTTCATCAAGAATATTGAGAACATTTGGTATAATTTTCCATAGTTGATGTAAATATACTATAATCATATTAGATCATTTAGGCAAGCATAAGACATAATTCATTGCCCTAAAAGAGCAGCCCGATGCACAAAGTATCTCGCATTCACGTAGCGTTCGAAGAAGGGCTATATCGCGAGGGGTGTGATGTAGGCAGTCTGGCAGATTCCACTGCTTGAACCCGTGACCTATAAATCATACAGAAATAACTTTATCATTACTCCAAGACTCCCGTTCACATAATAAAATATTGACTTCTTGCCTCCTCTAAGAATAAGTTTAAACCACCTTAACCAATTGAAAAAGTAATAGTATCTGCACTAGAACTTGGAGACTTTGCATATCACTTCAATGGGAGGCCCCACCTTGATGCCACTAAAGGTGCAATTCTAAAAAAGTATCATCATAGTGCTGTTGAAAATTGTAGCAAATAGCAGACAATAATTTGTAATTTTTAGGTCAACAAGAATCCAACGTGAGGGTTATCATAAATTGACTAGTTTTACATTAACCGTTAATCTACTATGATTCTTCTCCGCCCTCCTATATTCGGGCTTGAGACTAGCAATGTGTGCAAACTCGCACAAACGGACTTAGATGGATTGACATGGACAGTGGGAATTCAATAATAGATTCCAACGTGCTTAGAAGTTGAGGCATAGTTGTTGTAGTTTATGCCAACAAGAATCCAACCGAGGCAAAGGAGGGAGGAGGAAGAAGAGGAGAAAATTTTGAATGATACTGTTTCCTGATAGTCTGTCCACTAATTGGACTTGTCTCACAATGCTAAGTGATTCCTTTTTCAAATTTAGGAAAGTAATAGTTGATGCACTTCCCATCCCCACATCCAATCATTTTTCCATGACCTACACTAATAAAAGAGCCAAATTCTACATATAACAGATGTTGACACCTTTGGTTAATTTGCAGACTTTGATGATATGAGCTGTGAGATGATATTTGGGCAGGATCCTCCTCAACCAGATACAGATCCAGCATTTGTGCAGCCATGCTACAAACTATGTAACTACTTTTTCAACTACCATAGTTGCAAATTTCTATTAACAGATTCAAATCTATGCCCTTCTTCTCTTTAGCTAGAGCTTATCTGAACTTTCTTATTTATACCCAACGCAAGCTGACATTTCAGGAAAACAAATAAAAATATCATGGATAGCGGGTGTGCCAGATATGTTACTTATGTTTTTTGCTACAAAATTCGTGCAGGCAAACTTAGCAATAAACACCAAAGGGATTGCAACAGTCAAGTGAAAAGGAAAGATGAGGAGATTTCATAACGCCGTTCATATATCCTTTCAATTTACTTTCATTTGAAAGCTGTTATACTTAAAAGAATGAGTAGCATATGAAAACATCGGTAACTGGAAGAGGTGTCAACGTACAGGAACCAATAAGCATACACATACATGTATTACCAGATAAATTTCTGAATATTGTTTGAAATTATTCGATTGCATGTATGAATTTGTCTTCAGAAAGTAGACCAAAATCTAAAGAAATAAGAAAACTGCAGCTATATGTTTCAACTTCTGGTCAAGTGAAAACAGATCGAGTACTCAGGGGAAACTATAACATAAGAATATTAGGAAAAGAAGAAGAAAACTGTAAGCTCAGAAACTTAGATATCCAACAAACCGTGCTGATTATTGCTCCACATAAACTAGAGTACTAGACTAGATATTTATATGAACCCAAACAAACGTCATAAGGGCTAATTACATTGTCACAAAATTATTTCGAGCTGCCATTTCTTAGTAGCAGTATGACAATCAGAAATGAACATATATGCTAATGAAGAACCAAAGAATGCTTCAACATATTGAAGTTGCACAAGTGTGATTGCAGCAATTTCCTTTAACAGTTAGATGTTGTTGGTCCAATAAGTAATTTTTTTCAAAGACTTTGTCTTCCATCTCATCCAGCTTGAGGTTATAGTCTGAAGTGTAACCTCACAATTTTGGATGATCACCAACAAACATATTATAAAGCAGACGCTATGATTTGTATAATCTGGCAACAGAAGCCAATTAGTGAATGAAAATGCAATAGACTAGAAGCAGAGGCAGAGCAAACTTAAAATTTGTACATATGTAATGATTTTTTTTAACACAAATGCACTGTTTAAGCAAAAACTACTACGAACCCGTTCCTGGGCTTCTAGCCCCCCCACCCCCACCCCTGACTAGAAGGATCCAGAAGGCGAGTAAGATTGGATATCTGATGTGGTATCTTCTTCTGTGCGCATATAGTTGAAACTGAAAGGTGGTTTTATGAATCCTTTGATGGACTTTAGACAGGTATTGCATATTCTTACTGCTAAGGCCTATTGGGCAATGCAATAATTCTTGTTTTGGTAAAGAGTGAAAAAAATCTTTTGTAGGGGTTGAGGGGTAGCAAGGGTGGACCTAGGTTGTCTGCCAACTTCATTAGCTAACGACCGAGAGAGCACATTTCTGCATCACTGACACTGAATATTGATGTACCAGCCTTCCCCCGATGCACAAATACCAAGTAACTTTGTCCACCGAAGCTTAGGCTGTTAAAAAGAAATCAGCTAGTTNTTGTTAAAAAGAAATCAGCTAGTTTATTGATTGCTAGCCCAGACTCTTGGGTGCATCAAGTTGCAGTAAAATACTGGAGAATTCAGTAATGACTTTTCTTCTTCACATTAACATATAAGAAAAAAGTTA